AATATTTATTTTTATAATCCCATAATTAACAGATATAATATCAAACACACAACAGCATTACGTGCTCTCCTGTTATAACTGTAGTAAAGCAACAAAATAGAAAACTCGTTCAAAAAGATAACAGTACTCTAGAATTTGAAATATCAGCTACGACCCCCAAGGCATCCAGTCTCAGCTCACCATCAGTAATCAGTGACAGGTATCATGGCTCACTGACCACAGTTCGCACTTCGGGAACGGAGTATGACGGTAATGGCGATTCTTGAAGCGTCTTAGCGTATCTTCAGTAATGACTTCTGTAATCCTTCAGCGTATGAAGACAATAGTAATTCACGTTTCATATTTAAATAAAAACTCTTTTCACCCAATTCACTGAATTATTTTAAGTTTTTATTGTATTTTCCCATTTATTACAAATCATTTACTTTCTGAGTTGTGTTTAATATTTTCATTCTTTTTCCGTTCTGTTAAAACTGACAGGTTAATGAACGCTATAAGCTACTCAGAGGGTAAAATTTTCCATCTAGTTCTTTTTTTTCTGACATGCACCTATTTCAGATGCATCGGAAATTATTTATACCTCTTTAACTACTGAATTTATTTGTTCTAGGCATTCATAAGTTAATTTCTAGAATACAATTACACGATAACTTTATTTGTGTTATTTTGGCGATGAAAGTTAAAAGCGATGAAATGTGCTCCAATAAAGTCTGTTTATAAAAAAAAAAAAAAAAAAAAAAAACCCTCCATTTATAAGTAAATATTTAAAGATGAACATTAATCATATTTTTAATGATTTTAGTTGTATTATTATGTCTTGAATTTAATTTTTAAAATTCCCTCTTTAATTATTTAGAATGCCGATACTATTTTTCCGTTTCATTAGCATTTAATTTTTTTATAATATTTATTTCTTAAAATTATCTGAATATACCCTCATGGCAATAAACTCAAAAAATAAATAAATAAATAAATAAAAATAAAAATAATAAATAATGCGATAGTAAATACATTTACGCCTGATAATAAATGCAAAAGTATTAACGCAATGTTTCTCATTCTTTTAAATCTGTATTTAATTTTATTTCCTATATTTATGTTGTCAGCCATTTTACAATTATGATTGTAAAAGTAGTTTGACGCGTTGATTTAAATCCTCTTTCCCATTCTCAAGCTTATAATAAATTTTATTTGTTTTATTTATTATTATAAATTCAAAATAATTTATCCTTGTTGTCATTTATAGTTTGATTTTGCTTGTTATTCAGACCTTGAAAATTTTCCACATTCTTCTGTAAAATTAATTGATTTAGTTTTAGAAAGACTTCGCTAATATTAGTTTGTTTTGATTTAAGCAAATAAAACCGATGAGATTATTGAGTTACAAAGTGAACATGAACAGGCTATACTGTCAAAATCGAATCATAACTGTCTCATTCTTAAACAGAAACGAAGAGGTCCGTAAACGACCTCTGTAATTCAGAGGTTAAGAGAGCCGACACCGTCATGTCGGGAACCCTGGATTTAAAAACCCAGTTAGATAGCAAGTCTTTTGCAGTTTTGTTGTCTATCAAGGATAAGCCTTCTATAATTGCTATGCAGCAATTAATAAAGTCTTAGAAAGTACTTTGAAGGGATGTTGTAAAATATGATTTGTTTTCGATAAATATGGTATATTTATTTCTGTCACTATCTAAAGTCGTAATTTAAGTCATCTTCCTTCTGTTCTATGATCAAAAGAGCCAGTAAAACTCTAATGCATCAGAACAAGCAGACAACTAAAGAGCTGTAACCCAGTAATGAGACACTAACAAGATGAAAAACCACTATACTATTAAACAGAAAGAGCTGTAACCAGTAAAACACTAAACACTTTTAATCAGTGGAACTCTTAAAAGTTACAATCATTGGAACATTTCATAACTGTCACCGTTTAATATTAAAGAATAGAAAACTTAAAAGATTATAATGAATTGACCCGTAAAGAATAGTAATCGAAAATGGAACACTTAAGAGTAATAACTAGTAGAATACTAAATAATTGTAACCGTGAAACCCTAAATAGTTCTCATTACTCGACATTAAAAGGTTATAATCAGTGGAACACTCAAAAGCCACAATAAAACTTTAAAGAATTTACGTTGCCATCTTTTCGAAACAGTTTTAAATTTTTGAGCAAAGAATTACATAATATTCCATTCTGATTTTCTTTAAATGTATAAAAAATTATATCATAACAGTTCTTAGAAACACGGTAATTAAGCCATACGAAACAGGAGGAAAGATTTCGAAGATCAAAATGAAAAACGTAATCAATAACAGCGCCAGTATCCAAGCGACAAGCAACTGACTTGCTCAATTGAATAAAGAACTTCCTGTGAGTGTAATATCCGCCGATTTCACGAATATCTGATGCGTGCACAAATCGCCCATTTCAGAACCGCAGGAACGAATTTCACCTCGAGCAACGGTCACCATTCCGGTGGTTCCTGAATATGGTTTTGCCATCTGCCCATGAAAAGAGGTCCAGTTCCCATACTCTTTGTTTTATTTACATATGCTCACGACTTCATTATTTAAATACGGAATAACTTAGGTAACTACGACCATAACCCATCCAGATATTCGAAAATCCAGAGGATGTTGTTGTTTTATGTTCCATAGTCTAAAAACATATCCATCGGAAAGTATGTTAAATAAATTATTTTTTGGCTCGAGAAGTGTCTTTTGATGAGACTTCCTCAAGACATTCTTCCTTTACGTTTTTTACCTTATCAGGCAAATATCAATCCATTTGCTTTCGAAAACGTTGCCAACAAGCGAAACATAAAGACTTCAATTTATTTTGCGCATGACTCGCACATGGTTAGTCCTCGAGGTGTAGCTGCTAGCTAAAACGTAAGATTTTATATATAACTTTGAAATTTAACTAATCCGTTGCTGCTTAACAAACTGAACGAATTAAAAAAATATAAACTTGGCTTAAAAATTATAATTTTAATTGTTATCTTCATTTTTATACTAATATATGTGATTGAATACAAATTAAAGAGCATCTATTTTTAATATATCCAAACTACAGTTTTCAATGTTATTGTAGTTAATAAAAGATATATATATATAAAAGTCATATATTACGTACTTGGTATAAAATCCTCCCCCCCATCAGCTATCATATTTCGTTTCTCAAATGTTAAAATAAATAAATTTAAATGAAGTAGTTAAAGTAATATAACATATTCTAACGCCCGTGAAATAAAATACAAAATAAACTAATTTTTTAGTGTAAGAGATATATTGAAAATTTTAATCGAACAATATATTTACAATTCAATACACGTAACTGGTTTATGACAAAGTGTACTTAACATTAAAACGGCGATATAAGCAATTTGTTTTCCCCAAATACCCGCTATATTTATCAATCGTTAAATTTGTAATGCGAGCTGTGTTTGTGCTCGCTGTGGTACGTAACTGGAATATGAGCTGAGCTAGTTGATGACCATTAAAAAGTTAAGAATCAGAACCTTTACAGACAGAGTATGTATAAACATAGTAAACAAATGTTTGTTCGCAAATTCTCTCATGATGAAACATATTTTTCAAATTTCGCGCAATAACGCATTTTAGTTACATCCTAAAACAAAACTGATTTGTTTCAGAGATACGGCAATATTTTCCCAAAAAACTTTTCATGCATTCTTGCTTTCTTTCTAGTTTCTAACAGAAATTAAAAATTCTGAATAACTTCATAATATACCAGATATTGGAGGACCCAAGATAAACAAAACACCCAAAGCAAGTGAAATCGGGTCTCCCATGTCCGGTTCGATTTATCTTGGACTATCCAATGTAATATTTATTATATCTTGGACTATCCAATGTAATTTTCAGTTCATGGGTTCTTCCCTTGGTTTATCTTGGGTTACCTTGTACTACATTTAAGTACGTATAATATTTATAAATTCGTCAGTGAAACAGTACATATAAACTCGACAAGAGTGCTATTTATGTCAAGTGCCCTTGGGCTTTTATTTTGGAACCGGCAACATTGCTCTTCGCAATAGCTCGGTCAATTATAGAGTCTAAGTCTAAGTTCAGATGGAGGGGAGAGAGGAAATAGACTCTCATCAGGTTCCAGTAAAAAATTCTGAAAGCTTATATAAACTTGTATTCCCAACAACATAAAGCCTGCAACTAAGGGGGAAAAAGACGGGGTGTGAGAGTTTTTTCTAATTGTAAGAAAAGTCTATTCTTGCATTATATGCGCTTATTATGTACGTAAATAAGTAATAGCAAAAGAAATTGAGCTCCCTCCTATATTTTAAAACACTCAGAAAAGGTAACTCTATAAAGAGATGTAAACAAATAAGAACTGTAACGAATCTCAGTTCTACGAGAAAAACGGTATTTTTTTAAATATATACAAACCAGAAATCATTCAAATATTTCGTTTCTTTGTTTAAATAAAAATAACACCTACGACTGCTATCTGATAAAACCAAATCTTTAACACTGATTAAAATTAACTCAAGTGCTTTATGTTTAAAAGCTGGAATGTTTATTTCTTGCATCATTATATCCGCATGATTACTATTAGTTACTGAGACACTGAATATTTCTGTTAACTTATTAATAATAAAAATGAATTTAAATAAATAAAACTTATCCTAAGTTTAAACAACTGGCGGAATAATGAAATGTACACAAATGCCGTAAGTTAAAATAGCAGTATTATTTGTTGTAATGTCATAAAAATAGGGGAAATGAGCGTTGTAATTACTTTTAATAAAAAGAGATGGGAAGATATAATTTTGGAAAATATGTTTTGAACTGTAAGTATTGAAAATTTCCTAACTGCAGCTGCAAGAAGATTTTTGAATCAAGTGAAATCAATGAAAAGTAAGCATACGGATTTGCAGAGCAAACACCATTCTTCCCCCCTTTTTCAATAAATATTTTTAAAATGTTTCATTATGAAACAAAAGAATAATTCTTACCTGAATTTCCTGTATAAATTCCGTCTCGTCCAAAAGCACTATTTTGCAGTGATAATTGCGTTGTTTTTTCCCAAAACACCAAAACATTTTGAAGTTAATTCTTTTTAATTTCGACAATGAAATGTCTCCGAAAAATGATAAATTTAAGTAAGTTTCTCTAAATATCGAAGAAAGTAAAGTTTTAATGAAAGTTCAGTAAAAGTATTCCTTGACAAATGGATAAATATTAGTCTATTAAAATGTTCAGTTCAGGAGTAGGAAGTACAAACACGGTGCTTCAGAAATGAAAATCACATTGACGGTCATCCCTTCATAGTCCCTCTGTCAGTACCACGCGTGTTGCTTTCCGATCAGCAGGTAGCCGTCTGTGAAACACACCCACGTCGTCTACTTTCACTGGATTGGTTATTTTTACGCTACAACTATAAAACATATCTGTCACTTCAAGAAAATGATAGTGCTGCCATCTATCGTGTATAAAGAACATTTTAACATTAGCTTAAAAATATTGAGAAAAATTGTATTTTTCCTAACAAAGAAATTACTGAAGTTTTTTTATTCAATGTACGAAAAAAGCATGCATTCAGAAATGGTAATTTTAGATAATTTTGCTAGGAAACTTAGCAAAGGAAAAGGCAATCCATTATTAGTCCAAAGGGACTTTGTCCCTGAAGGATAATTGTTTTTGTTTTGCGATTTTGGCTTGAAAACTTTACAAGGCTGTATCATTTTTCAAATCGTTGCCGCCAAATACTATCGCCCTGTATTATACTTGAAGAAATTAAATAATGAAGAATCTGCATAGATGTATGTATGTTTCTCGTATTGTGGTAAAACAAAAAACAACGGTATCTAGAGCCATCGAATTTTGAATGACGTAAGCCTACTGCGAATATGGCATGTGAAAGACCAAGTTTGAATTTTTTTTTTTTTTTTTTAAATCGATTTCCTATTTTGTAAAACTTTAACGAATTTTTGAGTAACAAACTCAACGATTTAAAAACGAGCAATGGCAACACTCTACCGGGGGGGGGAAGCTTTTTTATCTCCAGCGCGTGGAACTGTGTATCGGAAATTCGCAAGATACACTCATTTTAAAATTATTTTGGGACATTGCTGTTGAACTGAATTTTATGGTTTAAGTACAAAGAACATGATATTTAATAAATAAAAGTGACGCACATAACGTTAAAAAAAGGGCCTTTGGACGTAATTTAAAATATGAAACCTTTCAGATTTTTAGTCCAAAGGGACTTTGTCCCTGAAGGACTATTGTAGTATTATTTTATTTATTTTTATTTATTAATTTATCTTTATTTATTGAAGTGTTTATTTTTATTGCATCTCAAAGTAAGAGTATTGTTTTCACTAAACGTATAAAATACTGTGCTACTAAAATTGGTAGTTGAAAACAAGCCTTACCAATGTGCGACACTTGCCATCTTTAATTTATCCTCCACGCACCCTCGCTCGTAGCAGATTATCAGAAACTAGCTCAGAGTCGTAGCTAGGGTTTTCAGGGCTCGGGGACAGTTGAAGATTTCGCGCCCCTTTCTTTTGTCGTTGGTAAAAGATATTTCTACAGCTAAATGTTATATAAGTTCTTAATACCCGATTACTAATACATACGTATATTTTGTGTTTTACATTTTTAATTAAAAAAATATTTTCTCAATTTTTTGAAATTCTTAGTAAAAAACCTTTGATTTAACTTTTCAGATTGCACTAGCTTAATTTTTAAAAATTTTTTATGACTGAGGAAGAAGCAAACAATATGAACTATTTGTTTATCCGCCGAGTTTACTCATAATTAGAATTTTGTTATATTTTTGCATTTCTATTCCATTAGCAATTAATCAGATGGAACACTTAACTACTGCGAGGATGGGGAAAATCCTATACTTTAATCAGTCCAAAGGGGCGTTAGTCCAGAAGGGCTATTAGTTTCGAAATAGCATTTTGGGTCCTATCACTGAAAGCGCTGAATCACGTTTTAGATTTTTAACACCAAATATTATCCCTCTGTATTATATTTAAAGAAATTAAAATAATGAAGAATCTGCATGAAAGTATGCATGTTTCTCGCATTGTGAAAAAACAACGCTACTTAGAACCATCAAATTTTGAATAACTTAGTCCTTCTCCCGAATATGGGCATCTGAAAGACCGAATTTTGAATTTCGAATTTGTTTGATTAAATATTTCACATTTTGTAAAATGTTAACAAATTTTGGATTTAGAAACTCAATGATTTCAAAGCGAACAGTGGCAACATTGTACGGAATAAAGTATTTTTATCTTCTGAGTGAAAATGTCTATCGGAATTTCAAAAGATACACTGTTTTAAATATTTTTAGCTCAGCAGGGTGTTAGCCCACATACTGTAGAAACGACTCTTGAAATGTGTAAAAAGGAAAAAAGCGTCCCTTTGGGCGTCGTATAAAATATGAAAGCTTTCAGATTTTTTTTTTTTTTAAATTGTATTTATTACTTTTTTCTTTTTGTGAGCGCTTGCGTGTATTAAACAGTGCGCCTACAAAGGGCATTAGGACTACGTTTACACAACATCAAGAACTGAAGAAAGCAAATACTTTATTAGCCTTCAGTATACAATCCTTGTAAATCTATAAAATGCTTAACTCATTTATGTAGCGTCTTGATTCCTCTGTAGAACCCATTTTCTGAAATATTTTGCAAGTCTGCTTATGATTTTATGAGTCTATTCAAAGCCATTAAAATAATGAGGTTTGAAGCGAGACTTTGCTTAGGAGGAAAAATTCACGTGCCAGATCTGGTGAATAAGGAGGTTTAAAAAGATGGGAGGGAAAAAAAAAAAAAAACACCTGTGATTTTTTTTTTCTGGGGTGTGCGTTTGTGTATGAGAAACAGTTTCTGGAGAATGAAAAATTTAAATGTGTGACAGCGCATTATCTTGCAGCAGACATTAATTATTAGATTGAGTTTTTTCAGGTTTCAGAATTCTATTCAGAAATCTTAATAGAATCTAGAGCGCTTTATAAAATATAGAATTTACTATTTGTCTACTAGGACAAATTACTTGTGAATTCCTTTCCAATCAAAAAGTTACAAGTGTCGTCCCTTTATTCTAGATTTCTGAAACCGAAGATACTGTGGACCAAACAGATGACTGCCACAAGAATCTGTTAAGCCGACAAGAATCTGTTAAGACTCATTTTTAGGTAAATAAATTGCCTTCTATCGCACATTTTCTAAACATTTGTTGGGAATTCTGGGTAAATAACTTGAATTTGGTAAAGGTTATATCCTCATTTGGGTAAAACCTTAAATATTCTACAGTGAAAAATGCTTATTTCATATTTAGTTGTTAATACTAAGAAAATAGTTCTAAGATAGTTATTCTATACGTTGGAAATACTGCAGGAAATGTTAAATGCTTTATATGGTCTTTGGAGTTTTTCTCTCAGAAAAAGGTGATATTTAAGCAAATTTACAGTTCTCGAAAATGGCATAGAAATACTCCTATAATGCAAACATATATGTACAATTATAAGAAAACATAACACTTATTTGGTGTGCAATTTTGTATTGAAAATGAGTTATTCCTCATTAAATGTGTATTAAGTAAGGAATATTTAACTGCTATGATGAAGTATTGTACGAAGAAATTTCTGTATTTGTGATGAAGAAAGGTTAAAATATTCGAAATTAGTGGAGATTTGGGTAAAATGTCTCTTACTCTTTCTCTCTTTGGTTCCTTCTGTAAGTATAGGTATATTGGTAATGTGTTAACATTATGTTGTGTAAAATACTTCACAAGATTTCGTTCATAAGAAAATTAATTGGTAAATAAATTAATGCAAACTGACATTTGCGAAAAGAATATTTTAGTCTAAGAAATTAAAAAATAGAGTATGTATGAAATTGTCTAGTGAATTAAGTTGGAACTGGACTAAGTTAAAAAATGTGTTAACATTATGTGTCAGAAATAAATGCCTATCAATGAAACAAACTTCCAAGAGATGAAATTGTAACATATGGGTAAATCGATGGTCATTCATCTCTTATTCGATAGTGGAAATGTTTATTCTTAGAAATTTCTTTTTTTTTATACATGTAACGTCAAAATTTCATCAATTTCACATGAAAGCCGTTCATGAAGGCAGAAATATCCGTACTTAGTGTAGGAAAAAGGTAATAAAGTGAAAATTTGCATAGTCGAGGACCATTTAAAGTGACGTAGAATGCATTCAATTTAGTACAAATTACTGAATTAAAAGGTATTGAGCGTTCAAAATAATAAGAATTTTGTATGTGTACATGAAAGAATGAATATAATTCTAAAATTATGGATGAAAGTTGAGATTTTATTCTAAAAATTCGGAATCTATCAAACTAGCTTAATGAGAATCAAGATTGAAAACTGAATACTGGTAACACTGAAGAGTTCAAAAACATATATTCAGATATAAAGGGTATTAAGAATTAAAAGGAAATACCAGAATACGTAGGAAATGTTAAAGTTTGAAAATGCGAATGAAGTTAATAATGAATGTTAAGTAGGATAAGTAATGGTAAACGTACTACAGAATGATAAATTGTAGAATTGCTAAATTAAAATAGTAGTATAAAATATGGACTAAGTAGGGGCTATTCAACGAATGGGATATGAAGAACAGTTAAAGTTTGTAAAATAAAATGCTTAATTAAAATCTATCTCTATGTTTAAGAAATTTAAGCATGTTAACTTAGCTGAAATAGTAAAATCAAAAGCGTAATTATAATCAAAAATTATAAAACAGAGTTAAAATTTAGAGTTTGTTGGAAACTAGAAAGAAAACCAGTGCCAGAAAAGTATAAAAATTACATCTAAAATTAACTAAAGTTCATGGTATGGTAGGAAAATGTAATAAACAAGTTCAAAATTAGAGTACTATAAAACTTACGAAGGTATAAAATGTAAATAAGTTAAAATTAAATAAAGCTCATATACATGGTAAGAAAATAGAGGAATTAAGATAAAATTAAGAGCCTGTTTGAAATTAGGAAGGTTAAAACGTATGAAAGTCGTTACAAATTATATGAAAGTCATGTGAAAATATAACAAATTCGTTAAAATTCTTAGTATGTTGGAAATAGAAATAGAAAAAGGAGTTGAAATTTACATCTAGAAATTAAATAAGTCAGGTAATGGCAGGAAAATGTAATAAGCAAGTTCAAAATTAGAGTACTTTAAAAATTACGAAGGTTTAAAATGTACGAAACAAGTTAAAAATTACATCTAAAATGAAATAAATTATTTTGGTACAATAGATTCTGATGAAAGAATAAAAAAGAAAAAACAAAATCAAAATAGGTAAAACCATAATGAAATGCATTAACTGAA